GTCATCCAAAACCTTAATAAAACAACCCCTCTCCCCACAGATAAATTAACCCTTCCGCCAAAAACCCAGACTCCCGATCCCCGTCCCGTACGGGGGAGATGAGTCAAAAATCCTAACAAGAACCCACTGGAAGCCCACTGTTCGAAGAGACGCTGCAAGAGGTCAGGCGAACACAATTGAACACCAAATGAGACGTTGTGTTAATGAGACAGACCATAATGGAAAGACCTGGGTGAGCTACTCCGACTTCAGCCAGTGTGCTTCAGGGACCAGTTTGTGTCACAATATTAGCGCGAATTTTCATTCCAGACAGATTCCTCGTTTTTTGAAACAGTTGTAGGAAAAAGATGTGTCATAACAGCCCTCCCGTTGAGCTACACCCCCACTCCTCTCTCAACAACGAAATGAGGGCTGGAGAAAAGTGAGCAGATGGAACGTTCTCTGAGGCAAGTGGACGCGCTGTCGGCGAGCCACTGGTGACGCGACATCGATAAAGAAACATCGATGTTGGCAAACATCGACGTTCAAAATATATCGACTAAAAACCATCGATGTTTTTAGACTGGATTAGTAACCTTTGACATTAAATTCGTGTGCATTAAATTTAATTCAACAGTATTCGTGTTTATCAGTTCGCCGAATAAGGGTACGAGAAGAAGAAGCAGACCCTACGCCCACAGCGTATTCGTTGGCCTTATCTCAATGTGCGAAATGCATATAAAGAAAGAGGAAATACGAGGGCACGGAGGTCATCTTTGGCAAGAAAGTTTGGTGGATGAAGGTTCCGTAAACAGCGTTCCTTTGGTTCCAACAAATGAATAACAGTGTTATCATCAATTATTAATTCATATTTTAACTTTTACTGTGTAGTTATTATGGGAACTTCTCATTCAGAAACAAATCGGAAAAAGCCGTCGATCACAAAACATCGATGTTAAATAAATTATGGAATTAATACTGTTTGTACGAAGACCGATGTTTTGAAAACATCGTTATCGATATTGCATCCCATGAGTCACTACTTTACGGAACATCGGGTCCGGCGGATAATGTGGTATGGTGGGTAGCTATACCCACAGAAAAATTCCGAGTGGGTAAAATAAAATCGGAATAAGGGGTGAGGGAACTATTCCATAAACAACCAATTCCAGAAATGGACGAAGTTTGTCGGTACTGTGTCGACTCTAAACGTAGGGGAGAGAGGGGTAATATCGTACACTAAAGCCAATTAGCGCCCTATTATGGCAATTAAAATCATATTTTTACTACTGATAGACAATTTTGCTCATTTCTTACAACTTTATTCGCGAACACTTATCTTTTTACTTCAAATTATTTTTTAAAATACATTTTAGAAAAAAACTACATCGTACGAGATTACCCCGAGAGCAGGGGCAACTCCATACAGCAGGTAGAGTAATACCGTACAACTATCTTCATTGTAAAAGGAGGGAATTATTACGATAAATAAAACAATAGATTACACACAAATCGTAGTTTATTGTTTTGAAAAGGAACATCCGAATTTTACAGAAAAACATTATTTTCTTAGCTATGGACTTCGTTACTTGCGTAGCACAATAATAGCAGATAAAGTTTTCTGCACAGTCAGCAGAACTGCACGTCTTGCGCATCCTCCCAGAGCACGAACGACACCGGATCCAAAGTTCTTGATCTTTCCTAAATTCCTCTCAATGGTGTCCTTGGACCCACTTTTGTAGGTTTTGAGAGCCATGATTCTATTCTAGAAATAAGCCCAGTCAGACAAAAATTGAGAAAACAATTATATGAGTTTTAAAAGCATGAAAATAATCATATCGACTCTTCTCTTTTTACAATTCTTCTCTCTTTACAACCCCATTCACGCTGCAAAAGCTCTTTGGATCGATGTCACCTAGTTCGTCATCATCGCTAATCATGCTGACAAGTTCATCTCAAGACGAGTCGAAAGAAATATCTTCGAATCTTTATTGTCATCTGGGCTTGAAGTTTGCTGCAGCCTTCTGGTTCAGAATCAGTTATCCTCATTTGTCATTTACCTGTTACAGCTATTTCAATTTTTTTATGTTGAATGAACTGTCAAAACAAAACAATTCGGAAATACACTTCTTAATAAACGTTTGAGATAATAACGTACGGCATTGATGAAAGTGTACGGCAACCATGATCTCGAAGCAAATTTTCAATATAACCTCAAAACTTTCTTGTCCGATTTTCGTTATAATGTAAACATTGATAAAGAAATGTAATTTTTTATGGTTTAAACGCCAGTACTTTATACGTAATAGCTTTCCACTTACCTCTAAAGTAAAAAAGGTGAAAAATAGTAAGGAAAACCAACAAAACAAAACTTTTTATAATAGAATATCTATCGTGCATCGTAGACCAAGGAACTCATTCTGCCAAGTTTACAGGAACTGCCGCATGGTTTCAGCCCCAACCAGACTCATTTACCTTCAAAACGAAACCGAAAAACGAGTACGGCGTTGCCTCGCTGTGCAGCGTAACCCCGTCTTCCCTTTACGCAATCAACTATTTGTTGTAAGATCGGTTTAACAGTAATACGATTTTACATGTTTATAGCAACATAACCGACAAAATCGATTTGCATAAATTCTGTGAAATGAATTTAAATTTTTAAAAAACGCCGTGCGCAGCGCTGTTTTTGCATTGCAAAAATAAACTCTGCTGAAGTTACTCAAAATAAATGTGATGGCAAGTAAATGAGATAACAATTTGATGGCAATTTAATGTTAAAGATGACATTGAATTGAAGAAATTCTGTTTCGTATTTTCCCCTTCATATAAGTTTTCGGCGGGAGCTGGAGGGGGGAGGGGGAGGGGTACTGCGAGTCGTGAGGCGGCGCGGCGCGGGGCGGCGGGAGCAGGCGCTAGCTGTCGCGTTCGCACGAGGTGGACTGCAGGCTGCTGGCGCTCACTTGCAGGTAGGTGCTCCAGTACACCACGTTGAAGAGCAGGAAAGCCGCCGGGAAGGCGAAGATGGCCAGCTGGTCGAGCAGGCACCACGACGTCTCGCGCGGGCTGCTCAGCCACTGCGTCCACGTGAAGCGCCGCGCGCGCGACTGCAGCTTGCGCATCAGCTGGCTCGCCGACGACCTGCGCGACGACGCCTGCGACAGCTGCCAAAGGAGGGTTAGATCGACCTCGGCGGGGTGTCGCAGCACACACTTTGAAACGAAAGCAGAATCTTTGTTCTTCTAGATAGTAAGAAAAAAACTGGCCCTCGCCGGCCTCATTTTAGATTTAAACGAGTTTAAATTAGTACAGGCTGTTATGAAAAAAAAACTTTTGTGGGCAAAGATTTTTTTTTAAGTTATTAAAATTATACACTGAACGTACTTTCTTGTTTTATTCAATTCGTTTTTTTTTTAAGAATTGGATGTTATTAAATGGAACAAACTTCACTGGGTACTCTGAGGAGTAATTGATAAAAAAAAACCGTTGCGAAATTCATAGCAACCGGAAGTATTGACTCTGTCATGCGACCTGCTCTGAAGCAATCAGCTTGCGAGGATTTGTCTACTTTCTCACAGCCAGGGTTCAGCGTTGCCGCTCATCTGACTCTCACGAAGTCGCGGAGGCGATAAGGTTCGGCTGTGGTGAAGGTTAAGAACGTGATATCAAGACATGTTCGCCTGTCGGTAAGTGTTAAAGTTTTCATATTTAATTTACCTATCGTGTAGGTGCTACCATGTCCGTGTATCAAATGTGTCGGAAGCAGCTCTCTCCCTCAAGAACAAGCACAAGACAGCTGTGTGTTAGCGCGAGTGACGTGGCATCATAAATCGTAACCTCAAACATAGGGATGAGTGATGCTTCGTTACGCATGTCCAACGGCATGGCCTGTGAAATTGTCATAAAACGTGCTTGAGTCTGTCCAATATGCCGAAATTCTTTTTGGAAACTTTTAACTTGACATTTTGACGCTTCGTTAAAAGTGTTAAAGTTGGGTTTGATTTATTGATGCGTGATTCCGGGCGCGTCAACGGCCAAGGTCATTAGTGCCGTGAGTGTAGTGCACGTTATCGTTGGAGGTGGCCTTCCCCCTCTGGATGGCGAGATCTGGCGCCGACCTACCGTCGACTAGCGGGGTTTTCCCCGATCAGGTACCACCCTCCAGCGGGGCGCCGCCCCAGCCGAGGCAAGTTCTAAGTTCCCGACCGGTCTCCCAGCATGTGTGGCGGTGCAGTGCACGTAAGTGTGTGGATAGGGCAAAGAGAGATCGCTCACTGTGCGTGACCCGTTTGTTAGTGTACTGCTCCGGCATTTGCTCGATGCTGATCGGAGAAACCACGGAAAACTACCAATCAGAACAACCGTTGCTAGAATTCTTCAGAACTCGACCTAGCTATCTAGCTAGTGTTGAAAATCGTGCCACCGTCGGGACTCGAACCTAGAACCTAGAGGCACCGCAATGACATTAAACGATGCCCTGAGCCACCTCTTCCGGTTTGAAGTTGGGTAACGAGGCTCCGGAGTTCAACCTACGCAATTAATGTAAAACAGCCTTGAGCGTGTGCAACACACAATTTCCAATTGCTATTCGAGCTACGAAAACAGAATGCCCCCCTTCCCGTCACTTGTTTGCGACGTCGGAGTCGACTCAGTACTCGTAAGCCCATATAATGGATCTGCTGTTAAGGAGCTGAGAAAGCAGGTATATCTGCGAGTGGAAAATAGATTAAGGCTAAAACGCAGAGTGATAAGATTCGTTCACGCGTGCGGACGCGTACGACCCATTCATGCGCGCGTATGCAGCACGAAGTAAGAAATATATCTTACACCGTGGTATGCATGGAGAAAAAAAGCTTGTGGGACAAACAGAAGACAAGAAAATAGAGGCTTTCCTGGAAAATAAACACGCCAAATTATTTTCAAGATGTATTCGCATAAAACGCGTTGGTAATTATGCGTTTGACCAAGGATCTTTCATGATAACGCGTCGGCCGAAGGCCTGAGTCTCGTCCTCAACTCGCAACTGATTAGCGAAGCGACACAGCCCGCGGTTGCGCGGCGAGTGACTCATTATCAGAATTAACAGCGCGGGTCAACGATTGGTATCACAAACTGCATTTCTAGCTAGATTAATTTTTATTTCATTTTATTCTTTAAAATTCGATGTTTTTATGTAAACTTTACATATATTCAGACAATTCGACATTAAATTACGTATTTCACCATTTTTTGAGGGGGGGTTATCAGCTAGAACACGACCATACCAACAAATTGTTTGCTGCTGGTTTTTAAAATGTATGTTAATTCTTGAAAACTCCTATATTGAAAGATGCGATAATAATACTATTATCGCGTGACTGAAATAGCATTGTCCAATTATATTCAAAGTAGGTATCTCCCGTCATATGAACAGTTACTTCACATTTTCTTTATTTGGTCTCCTTTCGCTTTGAAAATATTTTAATGATACATAAATGAACTCTATTTAAATAACCGAATTAGGCATTTTTAGGTTCTATCAATAAAAATAGGTCTAATAGGTCCTAACCTAAAATTAGGTCATTTAGGCTCCACCAACTTTAGGTATAGTTCTCGTTGGTACTTAAATATTGGAATGAACTTATTTTTTTGGAGAGGAAGAGGCTGGAAAGAAAATTGGCCAGAAATATATGGCTAAATTACGAGTTTTATCAATTAATTATGTTACATATTCCTACCAGTTTACACATAGTACGATCAGATAATACGTCTTCTTTAACTAGGGACTTGGAGATGGTACGCAAATGAATGTGGGCATTAACGCTGTCTCTTCGAAACCCGTGGGCGACATGAATATTTGAAGTTGTAGGGGATTCAGAGTCCCTCTTGTACTACATCTTTACCCCAATCCATCGATAATACCGTAGTCTGACAGCTGATATACCGCAAAATCACTAGTTTCTATCAGGTGACGTTTTGTTTTATCAGATCTAGGTTCTATCAGATGAGTCAACCCAGAGTGTACCAAGCCTTGCAGAATCAACCTCTTGAGAATCCTTCGAGCGGTCAAGTCAGTGCATTTCGAGAAATGTTCACGTCTCTATCTCAACATATCTCTTGAAGAAATTCTTCTGCGAATGCATCATTCCCTTCAAAATGAACCAATGAGAATTCTTCTAAAGGTCAAGCATCGTATTGAGTTTCTAGACTATGTTCGCGTGCCTATCTAAATGCTTATTCTGCGAATGCATCTTGGATAAATAACTCCTTATCTGTTCTTGGTATCATAGTGATATCTTCATTTATTGCGTATTTTTTGTTATTTCTTTACAAATCCATTGTTTTCTTTCGTGAAAGAGTGCGACTCGTGAATGAAATTAGATTGAATATAATTTTCTTTCTAACCATTGTCTTAGAAACAATAGGATTTCTTATACTTTGTATCTTCTAAACAGTAATATTGCAACAGGGCATTCTATAGCCACGTATGTTTTTATCATTCGCATTTTACGAGATACTGAAGTAAACTTTTTTACTTTCTCGCATTACTTCGTAAGAAGAGAAAGTTATGAAACCATGCGCCGGAAAACCGCGAATTTTCGGCATATTAAAAAAATATTAACTGAACGATGATGGACCAGTGCTGTTTTATTCCCCTGCTTCCTGAATGTGAATGGCGTTCTCCTGATTTTCCGAACGGTTCTCTTCGATCTACCGGACAAATAATACATTTTTTGAATCCTCAAATGCTATGAAACATTTTTTAAAACATTTCAGTAAATAATGAATAAATACTTATTTTGCATTTCATTGCAGTAGTAGGCGATTGTTTTCTTGTGACAGTAAATTGTAGTCCTTTTATCAAGCTCCGTCCACTTTGGTAAGGGCTTTTGTGCAATATTGACTGAATAGCAAGCGTTACCCAGTATTTATATATTCTCCAGTTTCGGTCTCACCGCCCTACTCCTCCCAGCCATCCGTTTTATTACTATGACACGGTCATAGTAATCAGTCCCAGTCATCCTACACACATACGTTCGAACGGGGAGCAACTATGTCACATGTCATTTCCTTACAAACGCCTTCGCTCAGAATGCTAGGAGCGTCATATCCTCCCTGTATTTTTACTTTCACGTAACGGAGTAGTGAGGAAGTTTTGTAATGCTGCTAGAAAAAACGGCGAATTTCAGGCAGAAAGTCTTGTTGAAGAGCCCTGGGAATAAAATGTGGATAAATCCAGTTACGTAATTTACAAAAAATCATCTAACTCGTGGTGTAGGCAGCGTCCCTGTTTTGTGGATCCTTGATACCGAAAATTCGAATGACGGCAAAACTGTATGTCCGTGGGTTCGTCCGCTAGCGGCTAAACCGCTCAGTCGTTTTTCTCCAAATGTATATTCCAAATTCGATCTGGCTGATATCACGGCTCCCTGAATTTGAAATTGATGTTTTAATTTTAGATGGTACTTTACATGAAGCTCCAGGGTCATTTTCCAAATTTAAAAAAAAGGCTACACCTTTTTTTGGTTAAATTTTGTTGTTGGATAGTGTGAAGGACGTTAAAGAGAATGGTGCAGTTTCGTGTTCCTTAAAATCACAGACTTTTCGAAAAATGCAAAACTTAAAAAAAGTCGGCGTCTTCTTACAACTACAACGAAGATGGCTATTTTTCCTAAACTGAAATCTGCACCTTAAAGATAGATTTTGAATGAGGTCACGTACAATTTTTCGAAAATTTGAGTACTTTTCACGTAATTTTTCGTGAAAATACGGGAAAAAAGTACGTGTACCACTAGTTTTCTATATGGTAGAGCAAACGTGTACAAAGCTGTATGAAATTGTTGCAGGCGTTCAGTAATTATGCTGGAACATCCGTTTACCTCTTCAGATAAGACATACAAATTGGGATTTCGGTCATTCAGTACACTGCAACGAGTTAGAATATAATACATAGTGGCTGAAGCTCCTCCGTCTTTGAAGCAAATTGAAGCTTTTTTTTCAAAGCAGGGAAACAAAGTATTCTATACTGCGATTTATGCAACTCTGCCCTGGCAGGCCTCAGCTGTTTCATCCGTCACAATAGTGACGTCACTATGGACGTTCAATCTTCGGATTGGATGAAACGGTCAACAGCTGATACCTGCAGGGGCAGAGTGCAAAAATCGCAATATAGCATTACGTTTGGCGCTGGTTACAGACGGTTACGCCGCTACTCGTATGTTTTGACTTCAAAAAACATGGCGGCCACTAGTTTGGCGAAAGCGCCTTCACCAAGAGCGCTGAAACTATAGGGACAGCCACTCTATGTAGTATTACCAGCGCACGTTTTCATGTGCCCTCGATTTAGTAGATGCGAGAAAAGTGGGACGTTTGATTATTTTGTCGGCAGGACTATTATATCAAATCTGTATCTCGTTTTACAATGCAAAATAAGTTTCTATTACGTGGGAGAGAATATTTCTGATACCAGATTTTGTTCACAACGCGCGTTTCTATAATTTATTCTGAATCCAACTAACGTTAGTAAGGTACTGGGGGTAGGTATTCCATTGCTCAAGAAAACGTGCGGGGATAATATATTCTGGCTGGTGGGTGTAGTTGCCGATTTTTCGTAAGCAGAAGTTGCCACCCCGTAGAGGTGGGGGTGGGTACTGGCGGGCGCGGGCGCGTGCGAGGCGTCGCGGGTGAGCAGGAGGCGACGGCGGACGGGGCCGGGGAGCGCCCGACGCCGCCTAGCAGCAGCGCAGACGCCAGCGGCGCGCCTCGCCCGCTCGGCCCGCGTGGCCCGCCCTTGGGCGGGCGCGGGGGCGAGCGCGAGCGGCCAGGCGCGCGCAGCTGAGCAGGATGGCCGCGTACTCGAGCAGCGCGAAGAACAGGAAGACGATGCACGTCACCAGCCACACGTCAGGCACTTGAGCCGTGGCGGGGGCGACGTCGTTTCTGCGCAGCGCAGCGCACGCGCATTCCACGTGCACACAGTCACAACTCGAGGCAGGATTGAAAGAGGAAAAAAAAGGTTTAAAAAAGACGATCTGGGGGGTATTTTGAGTTTTTTTGGTAGGGGGAGGGGGTTATTGGTAAATACAACCTTTTAAATGGAGTTCATAAAATTATTTTAACCATTCGACAATGTTTATAAACATATATTGTCAAATGATATCTGGGTATCTCCCTCCTGCGGGGCACCGATCCAGCCGGAACAAGCTGTAAGTTCCCGACTGGTCTGCCAATATGACTGGTGTGTGTATGTAAGAGAAGAGGAGATAAGGATGAAGAAGGAAAGAATGCGCGCGGTCCGTTGCAAATTTGTTAGGGTACTGCTCCGGCATTCGGCTGATGTTGATCGAAGAAACCACGGAAAACTACTGATCAGAGCAGCCGACCGCTAGAATTCTTCCAGACAGCGGCTGAATTCGACCAAGCTGACAAACTAGAATAGAGAATACGGCCACCCTCGGGACTCGAATCTAGGACCCGGTCAGAGGTATTGCAGTGGCATCAGATGATGTACTGAGCCGCCCCTCCCGGGCAGTTCACCTAACCAGGAGGAATTATTAATTAATTAACCAGAAGGTGTCAAGGAATTATGACGTGTCGTCGTAACGACTTCACTCCGAAAATCACGTGCCGACTTCACTGCGAGAAACATGCCCAGAGTCGGATTTACATTGAACACACATGAAACCCAAATAAGGAAAAAAAAGAAAAACTCTTAAGATAATGTCTCCGTCCATAGTCAATTAGTCACAAATACACAAATGTATGTTATCATGTGGTTAGGTCATGTCGTAGTTTCCCCCATTTGCTCCAACTGTAATTTGACATTTGAGATCTTGTACAAAATGTACAAAATGTTGACGGCCCCTCCTCGCCCCCGCCCCCGCCCCTCTCACCTCGACGCCTCGAAGATGGTGACGAGCGACAGGAGGTTCGTGACGAGCAGCACCATGCGCCCGGGCACCATTTCGGGCTTGACGAGGAAGCTACCCCACGAGATGACGACGAAGAGCCCCGTGGGCAGGTAGATCTCGAGCACGTGGCTGAGCGCGTGGCGGTGCAGCACCAGCCACACGCGCAGCGCCGACACGTTGCCGGCCACGTGGCCCGCGGTGAAGGGCCGCGGGCAGGGCACGAGGCGCGCGCCGTACTGCGCCATTGGCAGGCGCAAGGGCGGCCGCCGCTGGTAGAACTCCACGGACTGGCCGCGCCGCCACCACGCCATCGCCAGCTCCTCCGCCGGCAGCGTCGCTGGAACATCGACGTTGCCCTTCCCATGGTAACTAGTGATTCCATGCGAACCAACTGCTAAGCTCGTTTTTCTCGTAAGGGAAGTGCATGTTTTTTTGCTCGAGAGGAGGCGGTGGTCCTCCTCCACTGGATGGCGAGATCCGTCGGCTAGTGGGGTTTTCCCTAACCAGGTATCTCTCACCAGCGGGGCACCGCCCCAACCGGGACAAGCTCTAAGCTCCCGACCGGTCTCCCGGGATGTGTGGTAGGGTATTGCATGTAAGTAAGAGGTGTGAGGATAGGACAAGGAAGAGGTAGGAAAGATTGCGTGCGGTCCCTGACCCGTTTTTTAGGGTACTGCACCGGCATTCGCCTGGTGTTGATAAGAGAAACCACGGAAAACTAGCGATCAGAACAGAATTCTCCTCTAGGAAGTTTTTGCACTCTCGAGCGATAAAGCAATTGAAATCGCCGCCGATCTTGTGCGCATGCGCAGATCAAGTTTCGCATCACCATTGCGCATCCGCACATGGTGATCCACGCTGCGTGGGAGATAGAGACTGCACTCGATCGCAGCCCGCTAAACGCGCATAAACGCTCCAATACCATGGAAATGCCGAAGCAATGGCTTACCAATCGAGCCACGGTTTGCGCTGGGTTTTTCCTTTCATTTCTCTCTCTCTCTCTCTCTCTCTCTCTCTCTCTCTCTCTATATATATATATATATATATATATATATATATATATATATATATAGTGCACTCTCATGCGCTGGACAACTGCGCAAAATGTGTCGGGAGTTTTGATCTTGTCGCGACTGGGAGGGGGGTGTCCCTCTAGAAGGGCAAAACCCTGCAAACCACAGTGTAGGCTGATGCCAGATCTCACGATCCAGCGCGAGAGGAACACCGCAATTTTCCTGTATATATATAATACGCACTACGCTTACGGAATTAACGACCATAATAGTTGACGCGCTCAGAAACACTAAACAATCTCATTTTGATAACAATTAACTACTGCCCATTCGAAATGCAATTATATGAAATTCATAATAAGAATACACTTCAATTTTTTACTAGATTGTGCCCAAAATATTTCGGAGGCTTTGAATCGCTCTCTCTGGATACCTTGCAAAACAATTGCACATTTCCACACACTCTGAGTAACACACCACTAGCAAGGCAGGAAAATGATCGAAATAGATAAAGGAAAAATATGGGAAACCATGGCTTTCGAATATTTACTGCATTTCTACCGCAAATTTCTTCGGTACAAAATGTACAAGCAGGTAACTACATATCGAATACGAAAGTTCCGAATTGGTATTAAAATGATAGTCACAGAGAGCAATTATGGCTGAATGAATAGAAACTCTATTCTACACAATGAAATTACCAATGTTTCTTACGCCATTCTGCTGGGAACACTACGTTCACGTAGTTTGTTGTTGAAGTCTCTAATGTTGTAGCTTTCAATGACCTGTATCTATGGTGACACACATCAATAAATACGATATGATTGCAAGTATTCTACTGTACTTCATTTGAATATGAATTGAAAAGTCTTCATAGTTATACTCGTAACTGAATGTGTTTTCTCGCAATACGAGAGGCGAATTCTAGGCAGCTACTTTGTAAGCTCCATAATAATGCAGAAATGTTTTGCTGATATCCAGATGTCGCAAGATTTTGCAAGTAATGCCATAGATACGGAGTTAGGAGAATATCTAAGTCCTACAATCTCCTTCTAAGACATTTATTGATTTCGATTTTATCTAACTTCTTACACAATAGAGCGTCAATAATTCGGTCATCAATAATCCAGATTCGATTCTAATGGAAAATAGCATAAAATGAACCCTTTGTTTAAAAGTGTCGAGACATAACTTTATTAAAACTATTGATTCCAGAAAATTGTTTAATGCGTATTATTCTGTTGTCAGCCTAGATTTACTCCACATAAAATGAGGCCGCCTGTACAAAAAATACTGTACTTTTTGTAATAAAACACGTAAAATTATACTAAGTACATTAATGGTTTTGTTCATACGCGCCACATCTGTAGCCTCCAGAGGGAATTTTTATTTTATTCAGTTCTCCAGCCCTTTAATTGGTTCCTGTAGAAAAACCGGACAATTTCACAATTTGGAAGAATCCCGTGCAATTTTTTTATTATTTTTTCGTAATAAAACAACTGAATTATCGACGTTTTACTGTATAACTATTTATGCGCTAGGTATGTTAATACTGTTTGAAGCTGGTGGCCTTCGACTTACGCGACATGAAGTCCATCTTGCACTCTTGACTGTCCAGAGGGAATAATCTGAAGTTGAACTGGCAACGCATCGAAAGTGTTGCTCTGTAAATATTTTTTTTTATTAATTTTAAATAGTTTTTTTCTTTTCAAATTATTTTCATTAATACGGCTTTAAAATATTTAAACTATAGACGTTACTTCACAAAATATGTAAGTTTCCGTTGAAAATAACGTACACTGAGATTTCATTATATTAAGAGGTAGAAAAAAAGAGGTGAGCCATATGTCTGCGAAATGAAATAAATAACGGTTACTTCTACGGCACGTGCGTTTTAATATTTGATTATTTTTATTCTTCCATCTTTCAAAATATGTCTCCTTTCCTGACTAACTGCAAAAATCCTTGTATTAGACTAGTATGTTTCAGCAATAAAATAAGTTCGTTAACAAGCAATGACCTCATCATGTGTTTCTGTGTCTTAATTCCACGAGTCTAGGTCTTTGGACTTCGTCAAATTGCTAACGTACTTTGTCTTAAAGGCATTTAAACAAATAGTGGCAATTTTCTGTAGACGGACCTTCGACAGAAAATACACTAAATTTGCTGTTCGTATTAATTCTAGTCCAGTTCGAGCCGGTATGGCATACCGCTAATACTAAATGCAAAAGAGAGCGTTTCGACACGAAAAGGTTTAATTAGTCTGTTCTTTAGTGAAGCTGGTTAGCTAATATATCAACTCGTTCTCAAATATATTTCTGTACTACAGATTAAATTCTAATTGAGATATGTTTTACTTTGAAAATCTCTAAATTATATACGCGATATTTCTCCAGAATTCACCAGCAGACTCCAAACGAGCGAAATAGCCTCGGGGTTAGGAGTTATTATTAAAAATCTGAGTCGTGTGATTTCGTAAATAGCCTTTTTTTCATTTTTAAAACAAATTCATTAACTTCGTTCAGACTTTGGTGCCTTAAATAATACGTAACTTATGACTAATTTTAGTACCAATATTGTTCATATTATTTACAATATAGCTCTTAAGTTTGCCATAAATTATTTTCAAATCATAAATTATAAATTAATGTTAATCTATTTTTCATTTTAAATGATATCTAGTCAAATTATTTTTCATTTAAAAATATTTAATTAAAACAATAATTGTGTTAACTCTTTTTTATCTCGCACCAAACGTTAAACGTTTCGACTTTATCTCCGGGCCTCAACTTTGAAAAGGTGGCGCACCTGAGCAGCTGTTCGACGCTCTGGTCGTGGCGCAGCACGAGGTGATCCAGCCCCATGGAGCCCGCCATGGGCCGGAACTCGCGCATGCCCAGCACGTAGAGGTCGGGCGTCCAGAACTTGTCTCGGTCCAGGGAGTCCACGGGGTACTGCCGGCCCGGCTGGGCCTGCCCCGTGAACCGAATGCGAGGCTCGCGCCAGTAGCGGTGCAGCAGCAGGTCCAGCAGCAGCTCCTGAAGGGGAATAGGAGAAAACGCACTGACCCCACGCAATGAATTACCTTGTTCTACCAGCGGGCGCAAGTCCCCGGGGTGGGCGTTACCCTTCATCCGCACCTCCCGCCGGCGCACAAGTACGCAGACAGCCTGGAATCCGGATCCCGCCGGAACGCAACTTGCCCTCACGGCAACCTCCCCACTCAGTGCCTGGGTCGGGCCGCCCTGCCAGCTCAGAGCGCCTAGCTAGCCAGGGTAGTACCGGAGTCCAAACAATGCGCTACTCATGAATTCTCGGCTATCCGGGAGACGCCGCGTCCTTGGCTGGGGTGCCGACGTTTCGCCTGACATGTCGCAGGCTTCCTCAGGGCAGTGAATGCCCTCCTACTCACATGCGTCGGGAACAAGACCCTCCCATTTATGTTTACCCAGAGTATCGGGCCACTGCCACGACGAAGCCAAGAGCCCATCAGCGGGCCACCCTATGCCTTCGATGCTTTATAAATAACCTACAGTTTTTATTGTCAATTATTAAAGCGTGAATTACATAAATGTATCTGTCAATACACAGCACTCTTTGCCAGATGCCTTCTGGAAGGTCGTATGTAATACACGATCGAGTGATTAGTACTCTGTAAAAGCGAGAGCGCTAGGTGCTTCTGGATATCCGGTTCGAATCCTTATCGACACACGTGCAATTTGTGGTAAAAGCGTATAAAACAAGACCTTCTATTCTCGGCTATCCGGGAGACGCCGCGTCGTTGGCTGGGAGGCTGGTTGGCCTCCCAGCCAACGACGCGGCGTCTCCCGGATAACAGAGAATTGATGGATTCGAGCCGCGGAAGCTTACGTGTATATATACAAGAAGACTTTTATCTATAGTAGTAGCCTCTTAAAGGCAATAAAATCAATTTATATTTTAAAATAATTATTTTATTGGTATCTAAGCACTAAAATCACAGCTTTCGCATCGGGAGAGATGGCTCAGGGCAACTGATGTCACTGCAGTCCCTCTGACCGGGAGGTCCTAGGTTCGGGTCTCCGCAGTGGCAGGATTTTCGACACTAGACTGTCAGCTAGGTCGAATTCAGTCGCTGTCTGGAGGAGAATTCGGCCGGCTACTTTTATAGTTTTCCGTGATTTCTTCGTTCAACATCAGGCGAATGCCCGAGCAGAATCTTACTAAACGTGCCACGGGCCGGGGCGCAGGGAAGGAAAGCAGGGGAAAACCATTTGTACAAAAGCATGCACTACACATAGGGGAATAATGACCCTAGTAGTTGACGCGCACAGAATCTCAATTAATCAAATTTCTTGCTTTGTTTATATTATTTCCGATCTCGCGCCAGCGCATAAACTTGGGTTATCGCTGAAGAATCAATCTCACGCTTGTGAGTATTGTGTGGTGATATTTTATGTACAAACACAAGCCTGAGCATAAAATCCTTCGTGGAAGGATGCAAGTTATAGATTTCCAAAATATGCTAGGAGAATCTACAAGACTTATTTGTAGTGCTGTAGGAGTGAATTACCATACTTCCATTATTGAAAAGGGGGGAAAAAAGAGACTTCGTTTAAAATTGTTCCAATTTAATAATTAATTTGTCTTAACGACAGAATACTAGCAAAATAAATACTTTAATGGTTGTTACTTTCATAATCACACAATAGACCTATTTTATTGTCATAACTATATTTTCCACTTTTATACCAGAAGTATTTAATGAATGATATCTCCCTCAATAATGAAAACTTGGCTGTGCGTTGTAACAAACACTTTGAACTTTTAAGTATGCCATTAAACAAAGCTTTTATTTTTGGCATCCTGCTCGAAGTATAGACGCCATTGAGCGGTAATAAATCCCCATGCCAGCACAATAGTATTAACACCACAGAGCACAGAATCTATAACTAACATCATCATACAATAAGTTGTTCAAAATGTTGCACCAGCTGATGGAAGCACTGTCGCTTTTGATGGAGGAAAGAACGTAAATGCAGACATAGTTCGTCTAGGGATTTTGGAGATTGTTACGCAAGATAGTTGAAGTTATGAATAATTTATTTATACCATGAAATGTTATGAAGTCGAAGTTGAAAAAGCGCAATACCCTTCGTACATTATAGGTCTATGTTGCATTTAAACGTAGTAACCCCTTTCCAATAAAAAAAGGCATTTCCTCCTTTCGTGTAAAATCCACCTGGAGTTTTTCTTACTTCAAAAACCGAACATGTCCGGAGGAAAAAGGACGTATGGTAACCACAGTAGGAGGAAATGCAAATAACAATTTTTTGAGGCAAAATAATCGTTGGGAGCGATATTCCTCCAAATTTTCACGAAAAATCATTGTTTAGATGTACAGAAATAAAAGCTATAATATAATATGCAAAAATGTACTTTTGTCATCATCCCGTATTTTTCATGCGCACGGGGAAACTAAGAGATCACAAATTTAAGAGAAATAATTAAAAGATTAAAACTAGAGGTAGTCATTGAAACGATAACTGAATATATTTATTCAGTCCGGGAGTTCAATACATATCAATCGCGAAACTCAATCGTACGGTTTGCATTTTTCATTGCCATTATACAAGATCATGTGTGAGGAAGGATTTGAAATAACAGATCACACTTCAATGTTTGACGAAAACTCTTTATAGTGTCCATTTACTTGGGGACCCCAAACTGAATTAGAATCTGCAAAAATAGTCAATAGAATTGAACGTAAAATAGTCAATGCAAAACGCCAGCACGGTGAAGCTGTTCCGTGGACGAAGTTCATTCTGAATATGATTTTGTGTTATGAGTATTCTAATTTAGGACAATTTTATAAAGCTAGTGAGAAAGAAAAGGAATGTGAAAACATGGTTAATGATTCTCAAATGACAAACAGTTATTTTATGTCTGTAAAAGTCGCTTTTAAGCACGTGGATTTGTCGAGTAAATTCTTTCTTCTAGAGCAAAATCATTTGAAGAAAGAAAGTGCAAATGTTTTATGAGATATTATTTTTATGAGTAAAATGAATAATAAAGCAAAAGAAACTGTAAGAACGTTTTTAAGGAAATGGCGCTTAAGCGCTACAGTATATTCGAAATTTGAAGCACTTTTTTACAGAAAAGTTTCGACATTTCCAAAAACCTCATTAGAAGTCATTTGAAGCACATTAACTCACAAATACAACAGTATTTACAAATTGCAAGAAATGTGCATACTAACAGCGTGAGAAATATTTTAAAAAAATGCATTTTTGTAATGTTTTAAAAAACAAAAAATACCCTGAAATGAACTTTACATCATATTAAAGAGTGCAATTAGCACTATCGTTTCCAAAGGTTTGAAGATAAATTTGGAGCCGTTTATGAGAAAATGGCGTTTGAGCGTTTCTAAAATTGCGAAGTATCAGCTAGTTTTCACAGAAATCGGTTGAGTTTTCGAGAAATTAAATGTGATATTATTTAAAGCACATGGACTCATAAATATAATAATGTGAACACATTGCTGGTAATGTAAATATTAACGTGAGAGACAAGTAAAAAAGTTGTAATTTTTGAAAAAACGAAAGAATAGAGCAATATGTCGTTTACATCATCTTATAGAGTGCTTTTAGCATAATCCATACCAAAAGTTTAAAGAAATTTGGAGTGGTTTTTGAGAAAATCTTGTTTTTGTGTTTTTTTTAATTTCCAAAATTGCACGCGATATTGCGCGACAACTACTAAAATTTTCAATAAAAAGTACGTGACCTTAATTAAAGAACTAATAATGGACAAATTTTATTTGAAGAAAAATCTCTCTTTAATTTTCTTGTAGGAAAACCCCGGAAAAATTCTAACTTTTGAACTTTTCGAAAATTTAGAGTTAACGTGAAAATCGGGTTTATAAGCATTTTACAATATTCTTATAAGAAATTTAAAGAAATAGTTTGGAGCCATGTTTGTGAAAATTTTGAAAATGTCCCAAGGGCTTCATGCAAAGTAGTCCCAAAACTAACGAATAATATTCAGTCTCAAAGCTTTGACTCGGGTCAAATGGACAGGGGTTTCTTCAATTTGAAAAAAATCCTACGCATGGTTTATGTGCTAGTGTTGTTCACATACACCTGACGGGCGGACATTTTGAAACAAAAAAAAATTCTGCGGTATAAGGGGACCCCAAAACCTGTAATTCCGTTGAAATCTCGAAATCGATTTTCTGCAGCATTATACAAGTACTTGTATAAGTTAACGATAGCTAAAAGGCTAAGTCAGAATTTCCTAAGTTTAAATATAAAACAAAAAATACCATAACGTATGGTAGCTATCTGGATAGTATACCTCAATTACGCGACATGAAACTGCATAAAGCAAAGTGTAATAGGCTGTAATTGTCCAAAAATATTGAAAGCTGAAGTTACTAAATATTTAGGAGGTTATATTGACCATTACGTGAAAAGGAAATATCATGTCTACTTTTCTGCGTTATTTGCGACACATCTTTTATGTTTTCGGCAAACTCAGATCAATTCACTAAACTAAACAACTGCTAATTATATACTATACTTAATTTTTGTCAATTATAACTTGTGGTACAGTAACTTGGGACGGAGTATACCAATCTATACCAGTGCCATTAATTAAGATTCAAAAAGGATTATTACAATGATTTATAAAAACATATCATACCCCACAGAACCTTTATATAAAGAAACAGATATAATAAATATAGAGCGTTACTTTATTGAAAAATCTATATTACATACTAATTATGCGTGGGTTAAAGGTCAACAGTATGATTAATATTAAAAGATTACCTAATACACAACCATCAAGAGTTAACAAAGACATAATGTAGTTGAAATTAAAGCATTTAGTGCGTTAACTGATATCTTAAAAACTACTACTATAAAAAAGATTTAAAACGTCAAAATACTGAAGCTTTCGTGATTCATCTGAACAGAAATATTATAGATTTTTTCTCTTATTTACAATAGCTCCAACATCTTTTTATTTATCTACAATAATTTGGTTCCCCTCCTACTTAGACTTACATTTTTATTATTATCAGTTATTTTTTTCTTCTTCTTTTCTGATTCATTTTGTGTTGAGTGGGGAAAATGACGTGTTACTATTTAACGAAATATTTGGTTATAAAGTTTTTTTTAGGTTTGCGCATAGGCATAGTCTCATGCAGTATTTCCTGTATAAGTCATACGGACAATGTGTATTTATAACAACCTAAAATATAAATAAATAAAAAATACAATTATTAAGAATATTTATAACATTCAATTGATTTTTTTGATGTTCGATACTGACTGACGTTACGATAGGAAATTATTTAAAACTATATTTGTCAGTACGTACGCAACGAGCGTTGGAACTATTGATCAGCATAAGAATGAAATTGGGCTTCCCTGACAGTGTGGCCAACATACAACGGCGTCCATTTCTCCGCCGTCGTAATAGGCGACAACGTTGGATACATTGTCGGCGAGAATTCACGTGATCGACCACATTACGTCATCTAGGCGCGTGATCTGTCATCTCCCTCTTCGACGCGCTCTGGTCAGGTCACACTGGCGCAGTAGCAAGCGAACGAACACTTGACCTGCAGACGGGTGTGCTGTGGGCGTAAGGGCGGGGCGGCATAGTTAGCAGTGACACTTCGCTTCAGCGTTCTCGGAAACTGTGACGAAGAATGGATCAACCAAACAAATACATTGTCGAAAATCTAAAAGACAACACCAGAAAAATGGCCGGCATGAATATTCGTGGAAACGATGAAAACGTTTTGTCAGCAGATGTAATATCCTCGAAACTTTCATGTCTTCATTGTCCATTTACATGGAAACCATTCAATGACGCTAATAGTAGGGATACAGTGAATGCTACAGAGGAGAAATTATTGAATGTAGAGGATGAAGGCGAGGAATTCAGTGCGTGGACCACATTTGTTTTAAGTTTAATTCTCTGTTACGAATACGCCAAGAAGGATGCTTTGGATTACGCTTTTGAGAAACAGGAAGAATGTGCTAAAATCGTAGAACGTGCAATTGATAGTGGTTTTTCTATACCGGTCATGGGGGTGGGCTTGAAACACGTAAGTGATGCATGCAAAATATTTCTGTTAATGAAGTCAGAGCAACTGGAGAAGGCGACAAATGCTCTACAGCACATAGCTGACTACGACGAAATGGAGAAACGAGATCAGGCGAGTATTTGGAGCGTCCGGGGAGCCCTGCTCTTGGAGTATGGATTGAAGGGGATGAAAGAGAGTGTACCTTGTTTAGAGCAAGCACTACTGTTGGATACTGAGTGTCCAGAATGGCACTTTCTGCTGGGAAAAGCTCTGGCTAGAGTGAGACGCATCGAGGATCGCAATAAGATTCCAGATAAGAAAGAATTAAAAGCTCTGGAATATGCGGTTACAGTATCTGAAAACACTTTCTATATGGTGTTATTAGCTCAATCATACACTGATGCAGCACGAGTAGTCACTCTTCAGAAAAGAGGTAGTTCAGATTTTAGATCACTTTGTGAAGATATGAATGAAAAAGCTGTGAATATGTACAGGTAAACACTTTTGTATTACAAAATATATATTAATCATTGCAAATTATAATATTGATGCTTTTATAAGCTTTGTGAATTTTTTAACTCTTAATTTGTATTTTTCACAGCTTCTTACACTTCACGTTTTGTGCTTTTGTATTTTTTAACCTTCATTTAGAATATCTTGTTTACAGGAAAGCATATGAAAATAGTAAAGACAATCCTTATGTCTTAGGAAGATGTGCCTATGGGTTTATGAGATTACCGAAACCATGGAAAGATATGGAAGTTGCAAGAATATGTGTTGAGAAAGGTCTTGCAAAAAATTCTTCAAGTAGTTTTCTTAACTATGCTGCAGCTGAGTTATACAACAAACAAAACGATTCCGATAAAGCAAAGTATTATTTTGCTCGTGCAGCAGAAAATGGTTGTTATGGTGCTTGCCTAAATTTATTGACATTAAAAGAAAAAGAAAACAAATTGTACGATGCAATTCCTGACTTGGAGAGGTACATTGAACTGTTCAAAGAAAAGCCCCGTCAAGAGCATCTCTTAGCATTACTAGGAGCTTATCATTATTTTGTGAAATCTGATTTCAACATGGCATTAAAATATTGGTCAAAAGTAATCGACAGTGACATTCATTCCATTGAGCTAAAAGTGAGTATTATGAATATGGGTTTCTATTGTAATTACATTGCAATTCGTTCACAATAACATTTCACTAAAAATTAGTAAACTGATTACAGACTTATTCTTGGCTTACTCACTTTTTCGAGTTCCTTTTATTTATTTTTTTATTATGTTTTCATTACTTATTTTTGCAGCTTTCTTCATTTTTGATAAATATTGATACAGGTTTGTATGAACTTTGTTTACAGGCTCTTGACAACACATGGCCTAAAACACCTCACCCATGTAATGTCAGCAAAACAATAGTCAATGAAATTGTTCAACGCCTTGATAAAGGTTGTAATGAAGAGGAGAGAGCTATGTACACAAATATCCTGCAAAAATATAAAAAACATCATCGTCCCCTTGTGTTGAGTATACAAGGAATATATTCTGAGAGATCAGAGTACAGAAGATACTGTGAATCTGAAAACAAGCCCCTACCATCCACCAGTAAAGTATGGCACAACATGAACAGAAACGCAGTGGGGAACTACTGGAAAGTGCGGCCAAATACTCATAGTATAATGACAAATGATTGGAGACAAAAGTCTTCACGTTTTACACAGAAGTAAGAATTTGATCTTACATTTGAAACAAATCATTAACGAGTTGAATGTTAAATTCACAATTTGTGTTTATGAAACAAAAAAGAAACTTCATACATAGCCTTATATAAATAGTTGTATTGTATCAAACAAATAAAATGCTATACAATGTTTCTCTCATGTCTCCATAACTTAAATCTTTCCTGTACTGTACTGTGGAATTTGCAGTCGTGAATATTATATTGTGTGAGTAGTATTTTGTGCTGATTTCTTCTTGTAACTACTTTTGTTATTTCATATTACTTACATTAAAATCGTTACTTTTATCACACTTTATATTGTCTTTTGTGTAAGAGTTGTATTTTACCTTTTTTTACATGCAATGTACGTATTTTATTTTGCAATGATTCAATTTTCCACTGTTTCATGAACAGCTTGAAATTGACTGCATTGATATTTTTTTTAATAAAATTAGAAAAGTAGTCAAGAGAACTTTTCATAGAATTCTTATAAAAGTATTGTGCAAAGTACTTGTGGCAAGAACATTACAGAAATATCATACATATTATAAGAAATTCAATAAGCTGTTAATATCTGCAGTGACAGTCAACCCACACCATCAGTAGTCTGTGGCTCATGGCTTCATTTTAGGCACATTGCAAATAAGTGTTAAAGTACATTATGGCCCATTGCTTGAGTTTTGATAGTTGCAGAGAAACACAACTTTAAACTAAAAGTAAAAATAGTATTCTTAGACTTTTCTTTTTCTAATAAGTCTGAGCATTGACTTTAGGAAGTCGTCATGCAAGAAACTATTACCAGGGTACTCCAATTGCTTTCAAATTTCTTGTTTCAATATCAAAGCTGATCATGACAATTTAGTGACAGACTGAGGTCTCATAATTTAAATTCAAGAATGATACTGCTTTGCTATTCAATAATGTTGGAAACTGGAAGACAAAATATAAAACCATACACGTTTAGACCTTGTAATATGAAGTTATTCCTAGTCATTGCAATAGTATTTTGCTATTAATAAAGTAACATGGCCCACTAGAGTTTCAACGAGTAAATGGCCTACAAAAAATGTTGATTAAAATTGATTTACGGTGTTACTTTGTTACCTAAAGACCTTAGAAATTATTCTTAAACCAACTTGTTTTCATGCAAAACCAAAACATTGTTTAAGAAGCGTTTCAAAAGGCACATTCATGTTTGTTTATGCACACCAGTTATCCTCTCAAGAATCATTATTCCAAAAGCACTGCACTAACTGTAAAAGTATTTAATTTAGCGCACAGCGATCACATAAAAAATAAAAAAAAAATTGTTTGCGCCTATTTCACCAACTCGTATGTACATAGCCTAGTCATTTGATTTCAAATCTTAACAAATATTCATTTACGTTAGGATAAATGTCTTATGATCAGGACAATTATGTTGCAAAATAATAATGCAAATTGCCAAATATCAATTATCACGAAGCAACGAAATTTGCCGATTCCGACCGACGAGTCTAACTCCTACTGACTGACGCCCCGACCTGCCCGGTGCCCGCCCAGCGCTGCCCAGCATACCCTAATTTAGAACAAAAGACAGCTGTGAAAGTGTTGGCAGCAGAACAGGTGTACCAACTTTTCGAAGGGTAGTAGTTAGCAATGGCACGAACGTGGGCAACTATCTTCAGAAACGTATCTAGCCGATCATTTTGGAGTGGACTACTATATATTTTTGTTAAATAAACCTTTGGTTTTACACATTGGATTCTATTTTTGTAGTGTATATACAATACTATACAATATTTTTTAATTCATCACAGAATTCTATCAAATATTTAAAGCAATTTCACCAAATTAAAAAAAGATAAACGAAAACTCGATGCTTCCCTTCCCCGGATTCTCCGCTGACTACATCGTCGCGTCAACTTCGAATACATGCTACTAATAAGGTGACCATTTTTTTTATAATGTAAAGGACGAAAAAAAATTGAGGAAAGAGTACATCGTAAATAAATTAAACATTTTATTAACTCAATAAAAATACACTAATTATGCTTACGCCCCTTTTAATTATTTAATATAACTAGCATTTTTCCATTGAATGAATAGTTTTTGCCAATATATCATTTGCTAATATATTGAAAATTTCAGAACAAGAAATGTCCATCTTGAATTTAAGGGAAAGTGCGGTAGATAGAGTATTAACATTCAATATTGATTTGTCGTTTGTCCAAAAATCTGAAATACTGAAGCTGAAACTACTGAGAACAGCGAGAATTCCGCCAATTTATCAACACTAATTCCATCTTTCCGAAGTGTACCGTCACAAGATGCGTAACATTTCGGTATGGAATCTCTTATTACAGAGATTAACATATTAGTTTTAAAATACGGAAAAGTATGACAGACAGGAGGACACTTTTCGATGAAAGACGGAACCTACAAAAGGAAGAGTGACGTCCCTTAAAGGAGAACGATTGGCCACCTTAATGCTACTGTTTTCGTCACCTTAAAGTAAGGACAAACTTATGAAAAACGTTACTGTTGCATGGACATTATGTACTCAAACGTGACATAAAGTATTTTTATTTTTGTGTTAGCAATTGTTGCTAATATTCTCAGAATTACCGAATGTATTTCGCGTAAAAGTGACTTGTTATTCATTTATATTTGCAACAAAAAATGACGAATTTCGAAGGTTCCGCCAACATTTTAAACGTATTTCCATAATTTTACATTTATTTGTTTTATATTAGTTATTTCTCGCCTTGAAGTGTTCTTTATTGTTTAGTTTATTTCAATATTTTTTTTAGTTGGTCTACTTTAAATACTTTGTTCATGACTACTTTTGTATTTATTGGGCCATTGATTTTCTTCCTAGAATAATTTTTTTGATTGACCTATTTCAAACCATTTCAAATAATCCTTTTGTATTCTTATAGATAAGTCGCATATTGTTTACACTTATTTTAATTAAACTAATTTAAATATATCATTTAATACTATACAGTTGTGATTGTCAGTAGAATTGATTGATTCATGTAGAATTATTTTGATACTTTTACCTTTAGTTGTTTTCTTTACCTTTACCTTAAATAATGCATTTCGTTTTTTGAATGAAATTCCATTTTCTTAAATAATTATCTCAGCTACTACATAGTCTGTTGATCAGTTATTTTGATTTAGGTATTTCAGATTAGGGTTCAATTAATTCATTTGTTATTTTATGCAATTAATTTACTACTTGTATCATTTCATTTTAGAGTTATTTTAAAATTAGAAACGGAACGGGGACTTCGAATCTGCAGTGAAGGCGATCCTCCTAGGGAATAGAAACACCTACACCAAATTCCCTTGTCCTCAGGGTCGGCGATGGGCCTGCTCGCAATTCTTCATTAAAAAAAATTAAACTTGCAAAATACACCTAACGCACCCGTTAATCAGGAACCACTAATCAGGAATCACTAATCAGGAACTTCTCAACGGAAGTGGAAAACGAATTTAGGGTCCTGCAACGTCCAAGGGCTGAGGAATAAAGACCTGGAAGTAACGAAAACAAATTGCACAAAATTGAGGTAGCGGGTTGAGGTAGTGGGAAGATTTTTTACATTTTTGCAGTGGAAAAACATTTCCGGGCAAGCGCAGTCTCTCTATTTTGATACATAAGAGATGGAAGAAATATGTTAAAAGTTGGAATGCGATAAATGAAATAATAATAACTCTTGACCTGGAAATTTTTCATATTAGTTTTATGATTGTTGGTGAATATGTTCCAAACGATGATGTTATCTTATTGGTGAAGGAAGTATTCTATACTAAATTAAGTGAAGTAATTTTAACTTTAGGTAATAGGAAAGAATTAATTTTACTAGGTGATTTTAATGCAAGGATGGAAAAAAGTAAATAATGAAGTAATGGGTCAATATGAAGAGGTGTTAAATGAAATTGGTAGATACTTGTCTAATTGAGATATGTGAACAGTTCAGATTTCTGTTTTATACAAAAAAGGTCAAAAACCATTACAATAAAATAAAGAAAAAACTGAGCTAGCCAATATAGATAGAAATAAAAGGAGAAATAGAAAGGTGTTAAAGGGAGTAAAGAATTTAATACTTCAATATATGTAGATTTTTTTCTAATATTCAATTCTTCTCTAAAATTATTAAAATACACAATTTTTATAATTTTGTTTTGTCATCCGCATTTCTATCGATGACCGATCGCCTGTACACTGCTCGCCCACGTTCCTCCTCTGCCTCCCTTCTCCACCACCCTCTTTCAATCTCTTTCCCGCTCGTTCCCTCCCTTCAATCCGTGACAAATACGAGAAAGTGAGACTTACCGAATCGTATTCGTTAACTGCCAATATATCCATGACGCGTAACCGCAGCGACACTCGCATCGGCCCATTTCCTGCAAGAAAAACATAACATTATTTATATTTTATAATTTGTCCACATTCAACCAAATTTCCATCAGCGATGTATTATGTTGGCCGTAATTTTTTTCTAGGTAATCATTTCCAAAGTTTCCGTGGATATAAAAAATAATCCTTGGTATGAATGCCTCGATGATAGTGAAATATTGTGCATTAGCGATTATGTCAAAAAATTAATTGTAACGTATTTTAGCAACTTTTATCATTAGAAAAAGCATCTTTATCATCAGAAATAATTATTTCCATTATCTTACATTTTGCTTATTAGTTTAGAAATGCTATGTAAACAACGACCAATTGGTTTGAAGTTATTATTTTAGACAAACACGCTTATGTTTCACGCAAAATTTCAAAAAGCTCTTCATTTTCGAAAAAATTCAAAAAATCATTTTCATATATTTAGTAAATTACTTCCACTATCACGTTGTAGTCAGAATCAATGTTTGACGGGTCCTTAAGGCTAAATGCACCGAAAAATACTTGTAGGAAGATTCAATAGATCGCAGCACTATCAGAGGGGCATTTACTTTACTGATAACGTCTGAACCAATGGTCCGATTTTCGATTTGTAAACGGCATTTGACGCCTTTTAAAATAGAATTCACCGCTACTATGATCTTTTTCTTAGCAAAAAACGCGAATTGCAATTAGTTCTCAAACAGTAGTAAATGTACATAATTTCTTACTGTTTTATTTAGATCCGTTTTGTTGTCTACCATTTCTTTGAAAATCCCATTCTGTCTTAGAGTTACATTTAAAATCGAACAATGTTCTTAAAGGCATTTCCACTCACACTAATCTAAAAGGTTACATTTTATTAGAGAGCTTTGATGTATGGTGAGTAGTCTGCGTTGAAACCAGTGCATGTTAAATTGCAGGAAATGGAGTTTCTGTCCAACCAGGATCTTGTTAAGCCAATCATGATCCTCGTTGGGCCAACCAATACCCTTTTGAGCCAATCAAAATCATTGTTCAGAAAACCATGATCCTTCTTGAGCCAACCAATATCCTTGTTGAACCAACCAAAATCAATGTTTAGCCAACCAAAATCCTTGTTTAGCCCACCAAAATCCTTGTTTAGCCAATAAATTTCTTGTTGAGCCAACCTATATATTTGTTGAGCCAACCAATATCATGTTGAGCCAACCAATATCCTTTTTGAACCAACCAATATCTTTGTTACCGCAAACACGATCCTTGTTAAGCTAACTATGACCCCAGTTGAGCTTATTATGATCCTTGCTAAGCCAAACATTATCCTTGTTGAGCCAACCAAATTCTTGTTGAGCCAACCAATATCATTGTTGAACCAATAATGATTCTTGTTAAGCCTACCGTGATCATTGAAAGCCAACTATGATTCTTGTTACGCCAACCATAAGACATAAGTGCAAGATCTACCCAGCAATCGATCAAGTGGGGGATCGACCCAGCAAGTCGATCAAGTGGGGGATCGACCCTGCAAGTCGATCAAGTGGGGGATCGACCCTGCAAGTCGATCAAGTGGGGGATCGACCCTGCAAGTCGATCAAGTGGGATATCGACCCTGCAAGTCGATCAAGTGAAGAATCGACTCTGCAAGTCGACCAGGTGAGGGATCGACCGTGCAAGTCGTTCTAGTTTGATCGACACTGCAAGTCGATCAAGTGAAGGATCGACCCTGCAAGTCGATCAAGTGGGGGATCGACCCAGCAAGTCGATCAATCGGAGGATCGACCCAGCAAATCGATCAAGTAGAGAAACAAAATATTCCTATATTTTTAGTTTCAATTTAGATCTGAGTAGTTATATAATGACACGGTCTGTACCCACCACAAAACGGTGGGAAGTTCGGGCCAAACTGCATTGTGTTTGCTGTTCAAGTGCCCGAGTGCGGGCGTTAGTTAGGGCGCAAGGTCTCGGAATGCACCCTAGCCAGACGGAATTCGTTGTAACACGACAAAAACAAATTACGAAGTTGTTTGCCGACCTGCCATTCCTCCAGCCGCGGGAAGGCACTATCCACGTGAACTAGCGGTTATTATAGTTAGCGGCGAAAATCAGCTTGGTGGGATTCGATAACGATTAGAAATTCCCATGCGGTTTGCTCGCAAAGCCTCGACTATGCGAGTTGTCTCTCCTCGCCATTAGGAACTACAGGCCAGAAGCGCGACGCGAAATAAGATGAAAAATTAATTGTTCAACGCAATCATGGCAAAAATGACTATTTTTCTTGACTTCAAGGAGTGAAGGGAGGAATGACTTTCGATACCATGGACAGACACGCATTCTAAAGGCAAGCCGTTTATGTGTAGAACGCAAGGTAGAGACACAGAGAGCAATCGTTATAGGAAAATTAAATTGGTAGAAGCCCAGAACAGGTCACGAAACCCATCCTTGGAGTAGAGGAGAAGAAGATGATCATAAGGTGTAAACTCTGTATTTGTTAATTCGAGCATAACTGCGTCATCGCAGGCCAGTACCCATAAAGCTGGAAAGGATATTATTATTTTTTAATTGCTGAATTATTTGCAGAGCTAAAAATTAATCTTAGACGTAGCACCGCTTTAACCGCCGGGCCTGGCGTGCCACCGCGCTGACAGAGGGCCCACAACGGCGGGTGGGTGACGCAACGGCGCAGAAAGAGGGGTGGGGGGAGGGGCAGGTGTTTTTCGTAAATTTCACTTTACGACTCTCCTATTAATCGAATTGCATGATTGTCACAGCGCTGGATTCA